CAGTAGATACGCAAGCAAGGAACAAATTCATCTATGAGTAGCATGCGGCCCTGTGCTGGTAAAGTTTATGGATGCTTCTGCATGCTCACCACAGCTATACTCTTCAATTTCAAGCAAACCAACAGCTAATACTTACAGCCTTTACGGTGTCATCTATTCGGAAGCTGCCCGAGTATTCATTTCCTCACAACTACTTACTATCAAATAATCTCCATCCGTTGCTGGCAAGCTGAGCAGCATGTCTTGTCTATCAGACTTTGATTTCTGGAAAGTGGTGATGATATCCTGCACGCTGCTCGACTCACGAAAAGTTAGGCTGTTTATAATGGTCGGCAAAAAAAATACTGCAGCATCTTTCGCTCTATCGCTTTCTCCGTCGCGATTAGTATTTGTTCTGTTTCCGTTAGCGATCATGTTTCATATATTCGTATTTTGCTGCTTTTAGCAGAGTTGGATTGAAGGGGTGGGCAAAATCCTTCCGGCCTGATAGTCTGTGGATGTCCACGATTCTGTGAAATTTATGGCAACAGGAAACCCCTCTACATTCAGTCTCCAGCTCGATGTGGCGCATATTTACTTTTTGGCCAAGACCGGCAAGCTGTTAGCTTCTTCCAAGAACATCTATGCAAAATTTAGTCACGAGCATACAATTTTTATCATCCGTTTCCAAGACATTCATTTTCAGGCTGCTCGTAAATGATGTTTTAACCATTACTCCAGTCCAGTCTATACATACCTCGATGATACAAGTGTTGAGAAGCTTAGCCTGGTGATCCCCTCAATCGAAATGAATGGGAAAAAAGAAAATATTATGATTATCAAACAGCTGTTTGCCTCCCCTATCTGCAAGAGCTCGTAACACAACATTCAGCGCAACGCCAGTGAATGCTTTTCCGCATTCAACAGGTTTGATGTATGGCCTTTTACAAAAGCGTGCTGCATGTGGCATTTTTAAGGCAACAATCTGCCTTAAAAATCGATGGAGGAGTTGAAGCGAAAAACAGAAAATTTTTAAAATAATACTAGTACTTAGTGCCGATAGCAGTAAAACAGCAGCGGGAAGTAAAGTGCAGCATTTCCAAGAATTACTTACACAGATTCTTTGTTTCCATCCAGATCAGTAACGCGTGCTCTTTTTTGAAGGCCTTTTATTATTCCGCACGGGCGATCATCAACTGTTACTAAGTACCCTGAAAGAATTCTTCATTTAAGAAAAATGCAGAAAAGAAAGCATCATTTGTTTCAGACGCGCGGAAGCAATTCCCTCGACAACCACGTTCTAAATGTTTTTTGGTATTTGTTGAAGCGCATTCCGTTGTAACTGCGGTGGCATGCCAGCAGAGTTTTTTTTTTTTTTAACGTAAAAATAATATTCCCAAGCTATTCAGCATTTTCATTTCAACAAAATGAAACAACAAAAGAGTAAGTAGCGCCCAGCTCATCATTATTACTACTAGTTTCCATACAGGTGGAGTTAAGACTAAAAATTATGTGATTTGTGGCTAAACTGTGAAGAAAAACAGTGTTACAAAGCAACCTCTTGGTTCTTCTAAGCACGGAAAGTTCCGCCATTGTAGCAAAATTTCGTTCTCAGATTTACGTATATATTGCATTTGTGCGGGGACTGGCAGTAGCTTATTTAATATATATTTTTCACGCTTGTTACATGTTTCAGCCAATTCCTGCAAAAAGTGACTCCAGAACTGGTTTTCAAGCAAAATGAATCCGAAACAACAAAGTTATGGGTACTAACTGAAATGGATTCGCGCATCTCTGCGATCCACAGGGACTGTTGTTTGTTTGCTCCTTTGACCCGTTCCAGATCATGTTTCATATCGGACAATCGGTTTTCCAGACTTAACACTCTGTCTGATTTCTCCCTTATTATTGCTTCACACCGATGAACACGCCTCTCAAGCAACCGCAGTCGGAAGATTCGCCGAATCTTCACACCACGCCACCATGACTGAAACAGTTGAGAAGCTGAATCCCAAAACTGGCACATAAAAGACA